TTTAGTATCTATTTTTTTTTTTTTTTTTTACCACAAAATAGTAATAGTTATTGCAAAAATTATTTGCATGTAATATATGAAAATAATTTCAAATGACATTGAAATTCCATTTCATTTAATACATCGAATAATTTTAGTGAACTATTAATACAGATGAATTGAATGAAATGAAAGATAGCATTATTCATCGATACTTTGACACAAATTGTGACATTCATTCATCATCGATTCATCACTAATCTATATCGAAACAATTTATTTATCTTTCATATATATATATATATTACCTTTTTTTTTTCTTTTCTTAACACATTATAAATTGATTAAAAGTTTAAAAAAAAAAATAAAATAATCATTAATAAAAATTAAATATTATTAAAAAAGAGGAGCACATAGTAATTATTAGCTTTGAATTATTAGTATTACAAACAATTTTTATCACTAATAATAATTAAATGATATTCTATAAATATATATATATATATATAATGCATATGTTTAAAGTTTTTCTTTTTTTTTTAAATGATTACTTATAATATGCATAAATTAATTGGAAAGTTAAAATTTGCTTTATGATGACAACATTTTTAAAAGTTTGTAATGCAAAAGCAAAGAACACTGAACCAGTTTTGATTATTTGTCAACGTAAAGATGACATTTATTTGATTGCAAACAATCATTTAGTATGACTAACAGCAATAATAATGCCTGATTTTTCAGATTATTTATGTGTAATTTTAGGGCATAATTTTTTTTTTCCTGAAGTTGGTTTATAACGTTGTTATTATTTATTTTTTCAATTAATTAATTGATTTTTACTATTGTTATTAATAGTGGTAGCACTAAATAATCCTTTGATATGATTATCTAACAATGTTTAAAACTTGTTAGTTTTTAATTATGAACAATTAAGATCAATATAAATTACTATCATTTGATCATTAATGCGATTATTCTCTCATAAGCACTTAAAAAATTTCCCTTGTCAATCAAATATTATCACCAAGTAATTAAATAATCATCTGACAATATCCATAACAATGACATAATTATTCAAGTGACAAAATTTTCGCAATAATAATGGTAATAATATTATTATTATTATTAATATTATTATAATTATTATATTATTATTATTTATTATTATTATTATTATTGTTGTTACTATTACTATCATTATTATTATTATTATTATTATTATCATTATTATTTATTAATT